CAGCAGCCCGGCTACCCGTCTCAGCCGCAGCAGCCCGGCTACCCGTCTCAGCCGCAGCAGCCCGGCTACCCGTCTCAGCCGCAGCAGCCCGGCTACCCGTCTCAGCCGCAGCAGCCCGGCTACCCGTCTCAGCCGCAGCAGCCCGGCTACCCGTCTCAGCCGCAGCAGCCCGGCTACCCGTCTCAGCCCCAGCAGCCCGGCTACCCGTCTCAGCCCCAGCAGCCCGGCTACCCGTCTCAGCCCCAGCAGCCCGGCTACCCGTCTCAGCCCCAGCAGCCCGGCTACCCGTCTCAGCCCCAGCAGCCCGGCTACCCGTCTCAGCCCCAGCAGCCCGGCTACCCGTCTCAGCCGCAGCAGCCCGGCTACCCGTCTCAGCCCCAGCAGCCCGGCTACCCGTCTCAGCCCCAGCAGCCCGGCTACCCGTCTCAGCCCCAGCAGCCCGGCTACCCGTCTCAGCCCCAGCAGCCCGGCTACCCGTCTCAGCCGCAGCAGCCCGGCTACCCGTCTCAGCCCCAGCAGCCCGGCTACCCGTCTCAGCCCCAGCAGCCCGGCTACCCGTCTCAGCCCCAGCAGCCCGGCTACCCGTCTCAGCCCCAGCAGCCCGGCTACCCGTCTCAGCCCCAGCAGCCCGGCTACCCATCCAGTGGCAATTTTGGCTGGCGTCTTCGTGCTAAGACTGAAGCTGTGCCCAGCACAGGGGGTTCGACAGGGTGAGTTTTATATTATTAAAATGTTCTTGAGTTGATGCTTAGTACTAATTATTCTTCACCTTTTTAGCATGATTGGGGCCCACCTCAACTACGGGAGTAAAAGATTTGGCTACAACTGGTAAGTGTACTGTGAGGTCAGGCCCTGTTAATGTAATGGAGATCAGCCTGTATGTGTTCTGCCCTGTCACTCTGCTTACTACCACTTAAAAGTAAAGCCAATAACAACTCTGCCTAATCTTGTCATTTCAGATACCTTGGACCATGGGCTTTAGGGTTGACACATGTGCCTTGAGTCTTTGTGGAAATAAAATGCATTTTATACTATGCTTGTGTGGAAGTCTCTTGAAGTTGAAAGGGGGTGTTCACTTCAGTAATACAAGTGGGTATTTGCCTTGTGCAAGGGTGACATGATACCGTCCAGCCAATGGGTTCATGCTCTTTCCTCAATCAACAGGTGGCATTATTGAGCAAATACACTGCTGTTCCAAATTATATCAAATTTGGAAATGGGAAGGAAATGTACCCATCATGTCTAATCTCAGTGGTGCATGCAGTGCTTTTAGTCAGTGAATGCAGACTGAAGTCTCAGAACTCTACAGGGCACCTTGGTGATATCTTACAGGCTTCACTTGGCTTGTTTTACACACTGCTCCTCCACCTGAAGAGTTAGCTCCTTGAGTACCCTTTCATGAAACTTTCTTGGGTGTTCTGTGAAGGTGTATGACCTGAACAAAATGGATACCAGCTATAGCCTCATCACCTGCAGCAAGAGCACATCGTTGCTTGAAGCTGATGCAGTTTTGTTCATCAGTCCCAAAAGCTCCAGTGCTGCTTTTACTGACCTTGGTAAGCTGTTTTGGTGTGGCAACATCATACAAATTACTTGTTGGATGTTCAAAAGTAGCCTAGCTTTTTTTTTTAAATCTCTTTTCTTTCAGTTGCGATACTCAATGCTACCTGTAATATTGCAAACTTTTCAACAAAGCAGACCAAACAAGCAGTTTCAGTCTCATTGTGATGTAGTTAATTTCATGTCCACCAGGTGTCCTCACCTTGTAGACTCTCAAAAGGGCATATCTGTGACAACTGATCACATCTGTTAAAGAATGTATCAGGGTCAATCACACCACCTCATTAAGGTAAAGTTTCTGTCCCTTCCTTGCTCAGAGTTGCTCTTTCCTAAATCACTCCTAAACGAGTACTCCTTACTAAGTTTTTGGTGGATTCTTTTTTCTGAACGTGGAGAAATGTCACTTTCAAAATGGCTTCTAATTTTAATCCATTGCTGTCACCCACCTGTGCTCACTTATTAATCAAGATTGTTTGACTCCCCCTACCAAGCTTATAAAAATGTTTTGCTTGCCTCCTGTGCACCCTGATGAAGACCTTAGTGTTTTAATGGAAGCAGTCATGTTTTGGGATAAAGGCTTTTAAACATTTCAACAACTGAAGTGAGCAGGCACGGTGATGCAGTGGTAAGCAAGAAGGCAAGAGGGTTGCCGGTTGGAACCTGGGGTGGGGGAGCCCTTCTGTGTGGAGTTTGCATGTTCTCCCCGTGTAAGTGTGGGTTTTCTCCAGGTGCTCCAGCTTCCTCCAACAATCCAAAGACATGCAGATAGTCTGGTGACCTGTCCCGGGTGTACCTCGCCCAGTGTCAGCTTGGATAGGCTCCATTCCCCCCGTGACCCCTAACACTTTAAGCGGTTACTGAAAATAAAAGAATGAACTGAAAAAAACCTAATACATCTGCTGCCTGGCACCTTCTCCTCGAAACCTTGATAGCAGCGGCTTGTCTTGAGTCTTCCTAAAGGTTAGCTATGGATGCCAAATGCTTTCACTGCCAGTTAAAGTACCAAATAATCATTAATAGCGCCCTGCACAGTGGCCACCTTGTGGTAAATTATTAAAGAAGGCTCGTTTTGACTAATAATAATGGCTGATCCAGACTTAAAAGGCTGTGTTACTTTCATTGTAAGTCTCAAATATGTCTTGCGGCTCCACACAGATTTTAAAAATTATTTTTGGTCAAAAAATGGTAGTAAAGGTTGCAGACTGCTGGTCGAAACAACACTAAAAATGGATTTTTTGGGCACACACACCTGCAGACATGCTGGGCCCCACACTGCACACTCTGGATGCCATGATGGTAGATTCAGGTGTGTGGAAAGCGTTTACTTGGGTTTCAAACATTACTTGTGTTAATATGGAACTAAACATTTGGAGAACATACTACAGCCCTTTACTTTTTTGGATACAGGAAGGAAGGCTCATATTTCTGTACTTCAGTTGTACTTTTAGGTGTGAATTTCACCAAGAATTTAAGTCATAATTGTCTGTGGTATTTGTTTAGTCTCGATCTAATTTTTTAGATTTAATGGTAGGTGTTTGCGTGTAGGGTGTTTCAGTGTTTTGTGACGACACAGTGCATGTCTGTATCGGTCTGTATTCTTGTGCGGTGTACTCCAAATCCCTACTTTCTCTTCAGCTCTTGAACGCACCATAAGAGCCGCCCCGCTCTACCGGATTTCAGCCGGTAGTTAGACGGTGTTTGCCAGTGACAGCCATCCTTTAAACCCTCGGGACCCCCTGGATTGTCCGTCCTGTCCTCACACCTTTACATGTGTTTCACCGACACGGTGCGATGGAGCGGAGACTGAAGGGTTTGTAGGAGAAGTCTCAGTGAGTGCTGAGCAACAGGCACCTGGGCTGCAAACTCACTGACGGCTCATCGGCTCTGGAGGAACTGTTGCACAAAATCCCGCTGCGATGTCCCTGCTGTGTGTCAGAGGTAAGGCTCACTTCATACCTGCAGCTTGTCCCTTTTCTTTTTAAAAATAAAAATGAAATTAATATAGAAATAAAATAGTAGTAACAAAAACTATCAACTGTTGCTGCTGATATTTAATAATTTGCTGAAAAGGCGAAATTAATCCTGTGCATGTTTGAATTTTGTTATATCGTAGCAAAATATAGCACCGCTCCCTTTGGGAATATTTTAATATCTTCACAGGGGTAAACAACATTAAGATAAAACTTTAAATATTCTATATTACTGTATGATAATGGGGTCTTAATTGCCTCATTCCAACACTAACATGTAGCTGATGATATTAGAGATAATATAATTAGTGAGGGTGCATAAAATGACCAAACTTAAGGGATTTTCATCAGTTTCTCTTTTTAACATACCCAGCAACATGTGCGATTTAAACCTCATGTGGGCAGTAACACTGACAGCACCTCATTCTGTGCTACATTCAGTGGCCTGTATGAGCTCATGATTGAAGCTCAGTCCATTTTATACTGTATATTCTGACATTATAACAAGTGGTTGATGGGAAACAGACTAAATAACTGCTATTACTTTTCAACACTTGTTTTTACTTTTTTATGTACAAAGTTCATGCACAAAGTTACAGAAATGCACTATAATGTGTTTATGCTTCTGTAATTCTGCGTCAGTATCACTGATAATGATTCTGTATACCTGAGAGGATACCTCTGATTGTCAGCTTTCACTAGAGCACAAAATCATAACTGTACATCGCAGCGTTCAAGAGTAGCAGCCTTTTTCCCATAGGTATGTCACCACGGTTACCAAGGGTCATTTTGGAGTCCCCAAAATGTCCCTTTTGGAAACGCCTCGACATACTCTTGGATAAAGAATGTGAATTACTCATTTTTTGTAGTACTGTACTTATACTTTGGTTCCATAGTGTTCACCAGCTCCATACCTCCCAGTTACAGTCATCTGCAGCATTTTTTTCTCAAGAAAAAATCCAGGCGAGATAGAAAACCGTTTTATTTTAGTGTGTTGAAACGTGTATAACTTCATGACAGATGCACATACACTGAGTCTGTCTGTTGGGTACAAAACTTCAGAGTGTTCCCTTTTAAATGAGACCATACACATACTGGTACTAAATACAGAATGAGAGCAGCTTTCAGTTTACTTTGGGTATGCTTTAGACAGGCGTTTTTGGTGATTTATACAGGATTCATAGCAGATTACAGTGTAGGAGAAGTGACAAACATGCACAGTTCAGTTGGTGATCACAGGATTTAATCAAACACCTGTGTGTGCTCTGTCATATAGAGGGCAATGACACTATTGGGAGTGTTTATTTAATTTCAACTAGAAGAACAATGCACTAACATTAAAGAGTTATTGGCCTTTTAGTTGTTAAATTTATGATATGGTCGGGCCATGTCGTTATTTTCAAGAATGAGTTTCACTGAGTTTTAAAAAAGTTAGACTTGAATACTTAAAGTGATAGTTCATATTTGTTGTGGTGTTGTATGGGGTACTTATCCATAGACAGTATCTTAGATGTCCGTCAGCACCCCCTCAGTTTGAAGAAGCAGGCTGGAGTCTGACATGGAAGCAAAGCAATTAACTGCTGTGAAGGGGTCGGCAACAAAACATATTTTAGCCACCTAAAAAAATCTCTATCATTGTAAGTGTACCTTATATTGAGGGTATTTTAACTGCTTCACCTTTATGTCATGCACAGCGATTTCCAATTAGAAAATTAAGCTGTTACGTTGCGCTCCTCAAAGCCAGACTCCATTGAGAAAAACAGTGATTTAACATCGCTGAACACAGGAGCTGCTGGTCTACTGCTGCCTCGATTAATTATTTGTTTGCATTATTGTGTGACTTTGGTGTTGTAAAGGGTTAGTTCGGATTCACCGAAGTCACACAATAACACAAACCAACTAACTGATCGAAGTAGTGGTGGACCAGCAGCTCCTGTGTTGAGCGAGCTAAAATTACTGTTTTTGTCAATGGAGTCTGGTGGCTGTGACAAGAGTATAGTTGGAGAACTGCAGCCATGAACGGCTTTCCCACTGGAATGGACTGTCTGACGGAAAGATAAAGCAGTGAAAATACTGTCAATATAGTGTACACTTAAACTGATATTGACTTTTTTAGTTGGTGGAATTATGTTTTATTGCTGACCCGTCCACAGCAGTACATTGCAGAGCTTCTGTGTCAGACTCCAGTCTGCTTCCCCAAACTGAGACTTGACATCTACTGTACTAACTATGGATAAGTACGCCATACAACCCCACTTCCAAAAATCTGAACTACCCTTTAAATCAACCCAAACAGGAGCAAAAAAGGACTATATACAACCTGAAACTAGAGCTAGACCCATCAACCAGCCACGCTGATATATCAACTGATATCCTTACACCATTTTGTACAGCGGTCTTGATTAACTTGCTTTGCCCGGGGGGCACTTTTGCAAAATGACAGGAGGCTAGGAGCCAGTTATTAAACAAACGTTATAACTGATATGGAAATAAATAATCTGGATCTCTGTCAGGTGGTTTGTGGAATCCTCCCACTATTTTTAACAAGCCCTATTTTACTGCTTTTAAATATGCACTCTGGCTCCTTCTTTACAGTCAAAGTGCAGAATTTCCCAGTGTTAATTTATTTTAATTGTGAATTAGAAGACGTTGTGTGGCTACCAGGCACCCTATCATATCGTGGGCCAAATTTTGCCCACGGGTTACGACATGAGTTTCATTTTTGTTCTGTTATATATTGGCTGAAAAGTAAGAAATTGCAGTACAGAAATGCCAAAGATACATTTCAAGTCATTGAGAAAAAAACAGTGTTCACCAAAAAACAAGTTACAAGTTTATTTTTCAATTTTATCAGATTTTTTTTTATCAGATATTGACTTTAACTATTGATTTCAATTGTTTAAATATAAACGATTTAACAAGCAAAACACCTGAAGCCCTTTTATCTGAAGCAACAGAATGACAATATACTTCTCTTTAAGGGATACTTTGCCAATTTTCAACCAGCTTTGTGTCATAACACTGTGGGTAGTATGCATAAATGAACTGTGGTAAACTTCCCTCCATCTTATCAGTGCTCAGATCTCCCTGCTCATTTGCCAGTGAAAATCTGTTGGCTGACGATATTTTTGCTGGCTCTCGGGCTGTTGACTGAACCTCAGATTGTACCCACTGCAAACACAGACACAAGAGTATTGAAGTGGATTGAGAGAGTGAGAGTCCTTGTCATAGCCCTGTGCTAACACCCGCTAACACCTGGCTTTTTAATATTGTGGTAAATATTACTTTCGGCATTCAAATAACTCTGCAGTAGTCTCAGGTATTTATCAGCCCTGATCAGCATTGATGGAAACACAACACCTGGGGGAACGCGCTCATTTGAGCTCCTTTACCGGCAACATGCAAAAACGAGCCACAGCCACCACAAAATACCTTCCGTCTCCGCCCAAGCAGCACTCAAACATCGATCCAAATTAGTCTGCACCAAGTTGGAAAGAGAGACTGAATAAGTAAGAGGTATACAAAAAGAGGAAACCAGTTTTCACAGGCCTCCATGCTGCTTTCTACTAACCTGTTTTCCAGCCTGTGAATGACATCGAACTGGACACACCAAAAAAAAAAAAAAAACCCACCCATACAAAGAAAGGCTTACTCGTCTGCTGCAGAGCCGTGCACACAGCTCTGGTTTTCTGGTAATGGGAAAGGAGTCTACAGCCTGTTTTAGCAGGTTTAACCATGTTTAAAAAACCCACGTACGTTAAAATTTTTGGTGGAAAAGGGGTATATTTCTTTCCAACTCCGATCAAACAGTAAAACTAGGCAGCACTGATCAAATATAAACCAAGATTCTGTTACTGTGATGCCTGTTTCTCACTTAATTATACATTTTGGCATAATGTTTAACTGTAATATGAGGTTTTTTTACCTCTTGAGCATAAGCATTGCACAGCCCTGTTTTCTCTTGTCATAATGCACCAGTTTCAAGTGTGTTTGCATCTCTGTATTCCATGGACAGCCCAGTTTTATGAAAATACGAACATTCCAGCAGTGAAATAGTTCTTTAACGAATGAAGCTGAAGAATCTTAGCTGTAAATGTTTAACGGGTTAAAACAGGATTCATAACTTTAGCCAAATTGTCAAATTGTGTTTTTTAAACGAGGTTGTAATATGCTGAAGCAACAAGTCTTACTTACTGTTCTGTAGGGCTGGGTAATACAGCAATTTCATGATACGAGACTAGATACAGTCTTCTTTCCAGCTGCTCTATTATCTGCCTTTACTCACTCAGTCATTATATCCACATTACTGATGATTAATTATCAGAAATCTCATTGTGCCAATATTAGGGATGTCCAGTTTCCCTCATGTCCAGTTTCTTACCCCAGATCTTGACATGAGTCATTTCATACAGGGATAATGCAGCTGCACAGTGCACACTTCAAGTACATTAAAGTTATTAAAATCAATCTAATATATATGGGCTCTACATTTGAAGAGCTCTGCAATGTAAAGCTTTTGAAAAAACACTTGTGCGACAGCTGATGTGAAACGAAGGATCAGGCCAGGCTCATATTATAGCTCAGTATATCCTGATGAGTTAAAAAAAAGTCTCTGTTCAGGCCGGATGGATCAGGACTTTACTAGTAAATGTTAAGTGACAGCACGAACAGTCCCATGAAGTATCGTCGCAATATCGAAATCGAGGTATTTAGTAAAAAATATTGTGATATTTGATTTTCTCCATATCACCAAGCCGCACTTTTGTGTCTGACAGTTGTCGCATTGAGTACTTCATGTGAGCCACTAAAATCAGACCGTATGCCAGGTTGAAAAGGTGTGTTTTCAGACAGGATTTGACAGTAGAAAGGGAGTCAATACTGCAAATGTCTTGGGGGAGAGAGCTCCAAAACAGCTGAAGGCTCTAGAACCCATGGTAGTCAAACAGGCAGATGGTGATGTGAGTTGGA